CCCCAAAACCCCAAAACCCCAAAACCCCAGCCAGTGAAGACAGTATTGAAAAATGACTAATTCTAAGAGAAATTTTTGAAAAATGTGCGTAGAAAAATAGTTAAGTTACTTTGAAACTTTAATTATGGGAGGAATCCCTTTTTCATAGGCTTGAATGGGCATTTTGGGGACTGGGTAAGGGATCTTTTGGATTGACTTGTCAGGATGGATTATTTTAAGTATTGAGTTGTTGTCGATGATCTTTATGGTGCCGTCTATGTGTGCGATTACTTGGTTCCCGTCTGGGTAGAATTTTACGAGAGTGTCCTCGGTTTTGAAGGTCATGAGTCCGGTACGGAAAATCATCTTGTGCCATTTATCCTTGATGGAGTAGTTTGATTGTATGCAGTCTTGGTTAGGGAAGAGCTGAGTGATGTTCCCATTAGAGTAAAAGATTCAACTGTAACCATCCGGGTACACCCACATCTTCTTTAAACGAGGGAAGATTGTCTCTTGGCGACCACTTTTGTAAACTCTTTTAATTGAACCTAGCTTGTCTGTAGTTTTATCAACTACTGTGTCGTTTTGGAGTAAGTCTTTGTCATGGTACTTTGGATCAAGACTGAAGTTGTATTTAGATTGCCAGTTCTTTTTCCGTTCTGGATTATTATTCTTTGATTCTTTATCCTCTTCCTTTGTCTTATCATAGTGATAAAGAACAGAAACTTCTGAGAAATCTCCTATTGCAGACTCATCGATAGAATGATCGCTTTCATTATTCTGTATTCTGTTTATAGCTCTAAGACGAGGGTCTTGAGGTGATAAGAAATCTGTTTTGGTTGAGCTGACTTTATGTAAATTTTTCCTGGTATCTTTAATATCTTTAATCTGTCTAATTCCTTTTATTTTAAAAGAGCCAGCATACTAGAATATTAGCAAATCTAAGGGTAAAGGCTTACATTTTTAGATTTATTTCGGAACGCTTGCTTTTTAGTCTCCTCCTTTGACTTCTGCATACCTTCATTGTTGTAATTGACAACTGAGGAGGCGCTCTGCTCGATTTCTTCTTCCTTGATCTCTGCATAGAATTCTTTACTGATTGTTTGAGTGACCCCTAGAAATAGCTCAGGAAGCTTACTATTTTGAGGAAGATTCAGATTCTTGCTCTTTCCATTTGAACTTGGGAAATAGGCAATCTAGAGTTAAGGTGGTCTATACTTACTGAGTTCCTTGTAGCCTTTGAATTTTTCTTCTTTGGAAGTTGTGGATTAGCTCTTGTTTTCCTTAAATTCAATTAGAACAAACTTACTTTTTATTTCAAGATGGTAAACTTGTTCCTGGATTCTTTTGCTTGAAGGTTTATGGGAAGATTGATAGGCACTTGGTTTTCATTATCAACCCTATTTTGCTTATTGAGTTCTAGAAGTTACTTTGATACCACACCTGGAGCATCGAAGTTGAAGTGGGTCTTGGTCCTTATAGAATCAGGAGTCCCAATGGAAATCGTAAGAGGACCTCCTGTATTCTAAACATTAGTTATGAATCTTACTCTTGAAATAGTTTTAGCCAAGGAGGCTGTTTCTAGTCTATCTACTGTATCTTTTGTAGTATCTCTTTTGTCTTGGTTCTTTGGCTTACCAGAGCTTATGTCAAGGTAAAAGATTTTAAGTTAATCATTGTTATTTTACTGGAAGGGTTAACAGCTAAGGAACTTCTCTTGGCCTTCTTATCATGAGAACTCTAAATTGATGACGCATTATTATTACTGTGACTTGGAGAAGAGGAATATCATTCTCATCAGACCCAAGGCTGATGGTATCTGTATCCTGAGAATTTTTACCAGAGCTATTTCCTTTATCTGACTCTGTGTTAGTCTTAAATTGGGGTGTTTTCTTCCGTCCTTGATGAAAAGCACTCATGCTGGTGAGCTGGAGGTTATCATATAGAAATACTTCTTCGAGACCATATAATTTATCAGTGGACTTGTCTTCATTTTCCTTAAGCTCTAGCATATGTTTCTGTACTTGGATCTTCAACTTGGGATGTTTCCTATTTAATATATTGTCACTAAGATGTTTCTGCTTCTTTATCAGAGAGTCTATGAATAGGGTTGAGTTGAAGACTTATTATAAACGAAGGATTTTATTCAGATTCTGGATTAAATAAACTTACTTTTGGATTTTGACCGGATAGACTCTTCAGGATTTTTCAGGTTTGGAGTGAAATAATTGTGTTTCTTCCTATGTTGATGATAATAATGGCTACTTTGGATTGGAAGTGTTATTCAGCCTTGACTTGTTGAAGCTATTTTTACCAACATTTTTCGTACCTGTTCATCTTTTGAATCCTCTGTTGACTCATATGTTTGAAAAAGTTTAATTTGAGAAGGTTTCAGGACTCATGAAATCTACTTTTCTTCCTCTTCTTTGTGTTGAGTTGAGAATTGAGCAAAATTCCTGAATCATTCATATTGGTAGTAGGTGGCAAGAGATTGAGAGAAGTAGTCAGTCCACTTTCTCTAATATCTGGGACGTGCTCTTTACTTCTAAAGATATTATTAGCCATATACAATGGAGTTTTTGGGTATAGCAAATTAGGGATTATTATTTAATGCAGAAAATCTTCCAAAGAAATATAAAAATTTACGTTTCAGATTGGCTATTTTTGGATCTGAGGGTGTTATCTTTGACGTATATGACATATTTGTTGGAAGAAGAGCTCATTCTTGATAATGTATCCTTATTTCGTCAATTTCGCCTTGGTCGACCTCTTTGAAATTTTCTCATTTATATCAGTAATGTGGGCTAATTTTTTCCTTCCATTACTCGATTCTTCAAAACTAAGCTTTGAGCTTAGTGTATTATGATGATTAAATATCCCTCTTGGATGCTGGGTTTCCTCATTTCCAAAGGTCAGCTGCTGATCCAACCAAGAATTGGAGTCAATAATATCTTCAACAGGATTATAATCAAGCTCGTTTTGGTCTCCCAGCAATTGGTTATTGGTTTTACCTATAATAGCTCATACCTCAATTTCTATGTCAAAGAAGCATAAAACTCTAAAAATATTTCAACCCATATATCTGCCCATTTCTCCTCTTTTATATCCTAGAGAACAGTCATTAAGCTCTATAAATGCATGCGATCTCTCTACTTCACAGCTTACTATCCCCTGTATATTTACCTTTAAGAACCTTAACTGAATTCCTTGGCTTCATACTCTTCGTCGATCTCTGCTGTGTAATCGCCTTTATTCTTTTCCGTTGTTTTTCATGTGACTTGGCTATTAATAAAGTAAGTAAATAATAATGCTTTATGTATGAGTTAAGATGCTATTTTCCTTCCTATTAATTTGAATTGGAAATCCAGCCAACAATAAATTAAATCCTTTCATCATTCCTCTTCCAATTAAACTTTAAAAGAAAGCTTCTTAGAATTAGAAACAGCTTTCCAACTATCTAGCTTTGATCACAAGGCAAACCTAATTTATTCAAAATCTCCTTATCCAATGATGACTTGAGGTTACCCTCAAATTTTCTTCGAAGCAGTATAAAAATACATAAGAGTCTCAAGAGAGTTTTCTACTTATCATATAATCTATACGATATCAATAGATTAATGCCAGAGTCTTTGTCTAAAACCAGCCTACTTCTCCACCTCTCCTCCATTTCTACCTCCAAGCCCAGCCAAAACCCTCATCCTCTAGCACAAATTCCATTTCTCTTCTACAAAATAACCCCTCAGTAGGAAACTTTTGAAATTATAGTAGGAAAATTAGGATTCATCGGCTCTTTTTAGAAGAATTTAGAAGAGAAAGGAGCTTTAAGTGAGTTTGGAAGGATTTTTAATGAGAATGAGAAGGAATTTTTTGGGAATTTTGGATAATTGGGGGTTTTAGTGGGGATTTATGGGGGTTTTATTGGGGAAAAGGAGGAAAGGGGGTTGGGCTGGAAGAGGGGGAAGGGGATTTTGTGTGGTGGAGTAGTTTTACTGGTTTTGGATTGAGGAAGGGCATTGGGGGTTTAGAAGTTTGGATGGACGGTTTGGAATGAGGTATAGCCTCTTCATCACCTATTATCATTCTCACTGATTCTATCTTCTAAGTGAGAAATTTTAAACTTTTAAGTTATTTCAGAAGCTATAATAATAAAAATGAAATCGAATATTAGAAAGCAAGGCAATCTGAACATATATTTAGCTGCTATAAAGACGAAATAGTTATCTGTAAATATTTGACCATAAGGACTATGAAAAATATTTGTATAACAGTGCTCCAACCATTTCCAATACAAATAATAAGACTAAAACTCCCCAAAAACCTATCCAAAGCCACTAAAACCCCTCCCAATACCCAAAAACTCCCTCACCTCCCTCACCCTTCCCAAATCCCCAAAACTCCCTAACCCACGCCACCACCCCCATCTCCCCTATTTCCCTCCCTCCAACCCATCTCCCTCCTCCTTCCCTTCCCTTCCTCTCCAATCCTCCTATTCTTACCTATCTCACCTTCTGTTCCTTCCATTTCCTCCTTCACTCCTAGTTTCTGCTTCAACATGCTTGTTTTTAATATATTTAATACGATAGTTTATAATATTGTTTTCAATAGTTGGTTTGGGAATTGGGGTTTTGGGGTTTTGGGGTTTTGGGG